AAAATAACGGTTTGAATTCGACTCCTTGCGAATTTATTCAAAAAAAAATAAAAAACTAGTGGATTAATTTAAAAATATATAAAAAAAAAGTTGATTTGATTACACCAAAACCGTCCAAATTATAACATTAATGTATATTAAATTAAAGTGAAAGTTAGACTGAGCTGACCAGATGAACATATTATGAGACTTCTCAAACCTTCAAACGCCGCCTCTTCGGACTCAGTCTTGACCTTTTGCTTTTCGGCTTCCAATATTTAATTTCGTTGCGTGATTCTTTTGTCTCGCCGCTGGATAAATATCACAATCAAAGAATATCCCAAGATCCAACACCTCAGTTCCTTGGTGGCAGGGCAGATTTGGAAAAATACAAAGACATAAAAAGACCGCAACACAAACCAAATACAATGCATGGTAACGCCCGTTTCACTCGCTAACCCAACCAAACCAACAAGGTAAACAAATTTTAAATAGAAACTAAGGTAAACCCTAATAGCAAATGCTTTATTTTTGTAATCATATCATTTTTTTTCTTTTTTTGAGAAGGGCAATAGTTAAAGGTTAATATGTTAGAGGTGTTAGTGTGTAGGGAGGTATTAAACCTGAGACATGGGATGCAAACCACGGGTTACCCCAAAGGGCAGCAAGTGACCACTTAACCACACATGTGGAATGCATATCATTTTTGTTTTGTTAAGTTCCAACTTGGCTTTTATATCTACTAAGTTGGACATTGTCACATCTAGAATTTGAAAGTTATACTTTAATAATTAATTCAAAATTTTTAGAACCCACAAAAATTAATTTTGATTATGAAATCCATCTTTTAAAATTGATCTTAAGTGATTTATAAATTGTTAATTATTTAGTTATACTTCAAGGTAGTCACTGAACCAGTTTAACTTAGGACTAGCTCAATTAAATTTGATGCTAGTCAATAGTTTTGAACCATGAACTAACTACACTTAGGGTCAATTATGAATTTACATTGTTGAAATTGAGGTTTGACTCCAACATAAAATAAGATATTGTTGACAATGCTTATTTGAATAAATAACCTTTAATTGACTAAGTATGTATTTTTCTTAGTTGGTCTAAGAACCTGTTAATTAACTAAACCTTAAAAAAAAAAAAGGATTAGTGGTACTTCATGTTCATGAGTGAGGATCATATATGGTCTAAAAAACCAATGCGGAGTCTCATCTTAAGGAACCATTGCGATGGATTTTGGCTAGAGATCAGCTTGAATCGGCCATATGGCCACCCCTATCCTTTTCCTAATAAGATGTAATAATAAAAAAAAATCATGTTTTGCAGTTTACCAACAATTTATTGATTTGAATTGAAAAAATTCAATTTTTTTAAATAAAATTTTAAATTTAAGTTTGTAAATGAAAAATAAATATTTCTTATGAAATTTGATGTTGTTCTTATGAAATTTGATGCCGTTGAACTCTAAAATCATGTTTTATAGTTTATATTATATTAAATTACAAAATATAAATTATTAAATAAAAAAAACTTTTAATATTATGCAACTCATCCTTCATTTAATAATTTTAATTATATAATTTGATACCATCTAAATTCCATAACAAATTTCGGATAATAAAAATCTTAAATAAGAGAACAAGTACGAATTTGTCACCTTCGTCAATTCAAAGAGACTTCTCATCATGCTTCACGGAAGGTTCCTTCACCTACAACAACTTTGACAGAGAGCAGCCGAGTAAGCCCATCCAAAGAAGCCTAGTGCCTCAATGATTTCACCCAAAATGACTAAAGTACCCCTGTTGGAATATTCGTGTAGTGTTATACGTAATTACGTCCTCCTTTCCTATAAAAGGGCCGCATTGGTGTTCGTTAGGCTGTAATCAGGAGAGAACCGGGAGGAACCGGAAAACTTCAAAAACAAAGCAGAGACTTCGATCTATGCAACCGCCGGTTGTTTCTTCTGTCGGATTCTGTCGTCTGCTTCCGTCCTTTGTTACCGTTTTTGTTGATATCAGATTCACCTTATGAGCTGCTTTGGCAAGCTGCGTTGTTCCTCCAATCTCAGCCGCCTCATCGCCGGCCTTTTGATTTTCATTCTTTATCACTCTTTTCAGTTAATTTCCAATTTCCCGATTCCTATACACCGGTAATTCTGTCTATTTCCAGTCCGTTTGTTCAATCATCTGGTTTTCTCTGATTTCTCCGGCGATGGATTCCGATTCCGACGATTCCTTCTCCAACAATCTGCTCAGTGGTTTGTATAATCCTTAAAACACTTCTTCTGTTTTCTGTTTTTTTTTTTCTTTAATTTTAAGATTCTATGATGTGGCATTGTTAGATTTTGTTATCATGTTAATTTTTCACTAGATGTTGAATTAACTATGCAATTTTTCTACATAAAATTGTTGTGCATTTCCTTATTTGTGATTATCTGATGACCAGGAACTGTCTCCTCGCTGACCGAGAGGCAGAACAGTTCGATTCCTACTGTCATTGTAATTGGTGGTGGGATTTCAGGGCTCGCTGCTGCACGAATTCTCCATGATGCGTCTTTTAAGGTGATTGATAAGATACTGTCAGTTTTTGCAGTTCTGGACTTGATTCTCTTTGAACTTCTAATGCCTATTGTTAATTGATTGTTCTTTCTTAGGTTATATTGCTGGAATCACGAGATAGAATTGGCGGTCGAATCCATACGGATTACTCTTTTGGTTGCCCAGTAGATATGGGAGCGTCATGGTAAGCTAACATTTTTTCTCCACTCCAGATCTTATACTACAGTATATGGCTTATACAATTTTATTTATTTAAAGAAGCAAATGCAAGAAATAATTCAGGATTTATGTTTATTAATCTTCCATTAATTGTTATTTAGGCTACATGGTGTCTGTAATGAGAACCCCTTGGCTCCATTAATACGCTCTCTAGGGCTTACTTTGTATCGTACTAGTGGTGACGATTCTGTGTTGTATGACCATGATCTGGAAAGGTAAGGTTTCTTGGGCTTATAATGCGTAAATTTTCTATCCGTTAGATGATAATGCAGTTGTAAATTATGTTGTGTTTAGTCAGAATCAGAATTATTGGCTGACAGCTGAATTTGATATCTCAGTTATATGCTCTTTGATATGGCTGGCCATAAAGTTCCACAACAAATTGTCATTGAAGTTGAGGATGTATTCAAGAGAATTCTCAAAGAGGTTTGCCTTTTTTAACTACTTACTAATGAAATTTCTTTTCTTGTTACCATACTTTCTGAAGTTGACAGCAACATGCTTATTCCCTTTCTAATTCCTGCAGACAGAAAAGGTTAGGGATGAGCATACTAATGATATGTCTGTACTTCAAGCAATATCAATTGTTTTAGATAAGCATCCTGAATTAAGGTATTGAAGACAAGCTTCTTCTCATTTCATTCAAGACATTGTTGCTATCTGATTTTTATATCAATGTCATTTACATATTTCCATTTTATATAGACAAGAAGGACTTGCCTATGAAGTGCTGCAGTGGTACATATGCAGAATGGAAGCTTGGTTTGCTGCAGATGCAGATATGATATCCCTGAAATGCTGGGATCAGGCAAGTACTTAAATCATGTAATGGAGGCTATGGTTATTGTTCCTTTATTTTCTTATTATGCTGATTTTTAACATAATAACGATCTTTTAAAGTGGTCTTTTTCTTGCTTGATTCTTTTTTCTGGTTGCTACCAGAGAATGTCATGGGGATGCCTTTCTTTTATTTTATATACCCTATTTTCAAATTCAAATCAGATCATTTCTTAACTGGGATAGACCCTAATTATTTATTTTCTTGATAAACAATTCTGATACTGAACTATTATCTGCTTTAATCCACTTTTTACCTTTTGATTATTTGGTAGAAAGGTTAAATGATTGAGTGTGGTTTTTGTTGGACAGGAGCGTGTTCTTTCTGGTGGTCATGGACTTATGTTGCAAGGTTATGATCCTGTTATAAAGTCTCTTGCAAAAGATATTGATATCCGCTTGAATAGTAGGTAGGTATACCTTTTTAGTCCATATTGACTAACTGAGCATTTGGCATATTTCTGCTTCACAAATATTTTTGTGGTGTGGAGCAACATTTGACATGTCAAGAAAGAATAAGGCTTTTGGTTTCACACAAATATATCAAATCTCATTGCTGTAACATCAAATAGATTAAAGAGTGAAGTCCAAGATCATTTAGATTATTTCTCACCTTGCAAAGTATTTGACTAGTTCATAGAGTTGTAGACCATTTGGCGCATTTGAGTTTTCTTGATATGGTAGCCAGACCCTTGGTTTTACTTATATCACCCCCAAACTGATAATAGCAATTGTAGTAAACATTTCCATCCAGACCCTCAGTTCCACAAACAGTCAATTTCATTTTGTATCAGAAAGATTCTCATTTCACTATCTCAGTTAGAAATAGACATAGAAATGGCAAGCAAATTATTTAACAGTGTTTGTTAGTCAACAAAGTGTTGATTCTTTTATGGGTGTTAATGTGTAGGGTTGCAAGAATATCCAATGGCTGTAATAAGGTGGTGATCATGGTGGAAGATGGAATGAGCTTTGTTGCGAATGCTGCTATTATAACAGTACCCCTTGGGATTCTTAAAGCAAATTTAATTCAGTTTGAACCAAAATTGCCTGAGTGGAAGGTTTCTGCAATTTCAGATATTGGTGTAGGCAATGAAAACAAGATTGCCTTACGGTTTGACAAAGTCTTTTGGCCAAATGTGGAGCTCTTAGGCACAGTTGCGCCCACTTCTTATACTTGTGGTTATTTTCTCAATCTTCACAAGGCAACAGGACATCCTGTCCTTGTCTATATGGCTGCTGGAAGATTTGCTTATGATCTTGAGAAGCAATCTGATGAGTCTGCTGTAAATTTGGTGATGTTACAGCTGAAGAAGATGTTTCCTGATGCAACTGAGCCGGTAACTCAACTTCTTTATTCTTTGCCATCGTTTTCTTGACATTAAAGAGATCATTTTACTGTATAGCTCTGTTAAGTATGCAGATAGTCTAAAGACTATAAACTAATCTTTGGTGGTCCTCTATGAAACAGGTTCAGTATCTTGTGTCACACTGGGGAACAGACCCCAACTCACTTGGTAGCTACTCATATGACCCAGTTGGTTTGACTGCAGATTTGTACGAGAGGCTTCGAGCTCCCTTGGGTAATCTATTTTTCGGAGGGGAAGCTGCCAGTGTGGACCACCAGGGATCTGTTCATGGAGCTTACTCCGCTGGAGTCATGGCTGCTGAAAACTGTCAGATGCATTTGTTACAGAGGCTAGGTAACCTGGAGAAGCTCCAGCTACTCTCTTGCAGGCATGAAATTTTAGAATCTACATTTCCCCTCCAAATCTCTAGGATGTAGACGCTTCTGATCTAAATAAGTATCAATCCCTTTGAATACTAGTCAGTATTTGAATAAGTTATTATTTTTTATGAACTAGTGGAGAAAATGGTTATGGTGGACCCACTTTTTTTTCTTTTTCTTTTTTTTTTCACTTTATTAGCAGAAATTTTATATTTATTGCAAAGGAAGGAATTGAAAGAGGATGAGCATGAATGGGTCCTATCATATCTCCTGATGTTCAACTTGCTTCTACCCTCAATAATGGGCATCCTATGACCAATTGACCATCTTCCGATGTTCAACTTGCTTCTTCTTTTGTCGGTTTTTTTAATCAGCATGTTACAACTTGCTTCTACCCTCCATGATGGGCATGCCTATAGCTGCAGAAAAAATCGTTATCAAAATGTTACAGGCTTATATATATTTTTAATATTATTTTAAAAAATATTAATTTAATTTAATTTAATTATTAAAATAATTAATAGATATAACAACTACTATTTTTTTAAGTTAACAAATTAAAATCTTTACAAACACCAGCTACTCTATCCGATATTTTGAGAAAATAAATAAATAAATAAAAGAATGCTTCCATACCATTTGTTTGGTTGCTGACAAAAAATGAATAGCAAAGACAAATTCTGTTCTGTCATGTGCTTGTCAATTTGGCTAGACAAGTTAATGACAAAACTGGGATGACACCCCCAACCAGTCGAACATGGGTTTTGATAATAACTAATCAACAGTTCTGTCTTTTGTCGGTAGAGTATCATATCATGTCACGCATCTTCAAACAAGTCGTATAGTCATGCGGGGAAATCCGCCAGCAAGCTCAATGGTAATTATTCGACCTAAAATTATTCAATTGTGCATATGCAAGAATTTAATCGTCAAATATTAGCTTTAAATTAAAGTTTAACCATCATAGTCAGTGGATATAACCTCAGTTAAAATAGACTTCAAGTTGTCAAATGGTTGGCTTGACCTCCATAAATAAAAAAAAAGAATCAACTCGCCAAAGCTTTTATTGATATATGCTTGTTTTTTCTGATAATAAAAGGAGAGCCCAAAAGTCCTCAAAGACAATATATGGTGGTTTAGAGTTTGAATTTTTATTTTAGAAATCTCAATTTTAAATATTAAGATGGGTAAGGGGGAATTGAGAAGAATAATTATTTATTATTATATAATATATCATTTTCATCTGTTTGGCAATGTGAGTTTAAAAATAGAGTATTTGAATTTGGGGGTTATAAATTCAAAATTATTGTTTGTTTTTGCACAACAAGAGTATATTTGAATTTTAATCTAAATACACATATTTTAATTTGTGTATTTTAAAGACTAAAAAGTGTGTATTTTAAATACTCTTTTATACCCATAAATTTGACATTGGATTTCAAATTCTTTGTTCACTCTTTACATCTTCCTCTATGATGAGATAGCTTCTCTTTGATGAAGCCTTGATGATCGCATTCAAAATTGTATATTCAATCTCCAAAATCTTTTCTCCCCTTGGTTTTGTTGCTTTGTTTGTTTGGGTCAATGTCAATTTAGTTGAACTCGCAGAGCAAGTGGTGGTGGACACTAAGTCACTCATGGAGGGTAGTTTATTGATGGTAATATCGAAACTTTTGTAAACTTATATTTTATTAGAATTGATGAATGGAGAATGGCAAAGTGGGTAGTGGCCAAGTCAAGGGAAAGGAGGGACTTCTTGCTATTGTTAGCACCCTTGATGACCACAAACTTGTCTTTCTAGTGTTAGGCAATGGTGATGGGGTAGTACAATTCATATGAGGCCATCGTGGACGATAGTTGCTGTGGTGATGGAGGCGAAATAGTGAGAATGGAGGTGGGTGAAAGAGTAGTAAAATAATGGGTGGGTGATTTTCATACGAGGATGCAGAAAGGACAGAGTGGTGGCAGTTTTTGCTAAATTATGCTTAAATATATACAAGATATGAGATATTAATTATCATTCTATTTTTTTACATGTGATAATTGAAGTTGCAACCTTATTTTGAATTTTGATAGGATTCTTCAAAACATAGTGAAAGAAATAGAGGTAATGAAAAGGGCAACTAAAATTGCCTACTAAATGTTTGTAAAAATGTCTTAATGAGAGTGATTAACATCAAATCAATTTGAAATTCACAGCTTGTTTAATTTATCAAATTGTGTAATTTAATAAGTATTTAAAATACATGTATTTGAATTACATGTATTTCAAATACATGTATTATTTCAAATATATGTATTTAAATTACACCCATTAAATTCAAATTCAAGTTCCCAAATGCAACCTTAATGTATAAAAAAAAATGTCCATAAAAATATTAGGATGTGTGGAGAAAAAATTAAGAAAAATAATTATTTTTTATTATATAATTAATTCATCATATGACTGAAAAAAAAAGACACCATAGAAGTCCAGTTGGGGCAAGGTCCAAGATCACAATTTGGCAGACCTCTAGCCACCAGCCAGGCCCAATCAAGTTGTCCGCAGACATCTGACCGACACCCCGTGATCAAAATGCATAATATCTTGCGTTTCTCTCCGAATTCACAAACACATTTTCAGTCTTCCGTACACTTACCAGAATCTCTTCTGCTTCTCCTGATTCCTCAGTTTCCCCTTTCTCTAACCTTGAGATCTTTAACCGATTTCGTAATCTTGCAATACAATGGCCGCCGCAGGACACAACAATCTCAACGCAAAACTTGTGAGTCCGCATCCATTCCCATCTGGGTTCTGATTTTTGATACCTCAAATTTGAGCTTGAATTAATGGTTTCCGATTGTTTCAGGTTCTCCTCGGCGACATGGGTGCTGGAAAATCGAGCCTTGTCTTGCGTTTTGTTAAGGGCCAATTTCTCGAATTCCAGGTTTTTCTCAAATCCCAACTGTTTTCCATTTTTTTTTTTTTTTTGTGGGTAGCGGGTTAATGGGTATATATATAGGAATCGACGATAGGGGCGGCGTTCTTTTCTCAGACGGTGGCAGTAAATGATTCGACGGTGAAGTTCGAGATATGGGACACGGCAGGTCAGGAGAGGTATCATAGCTTGGCTCCCATGTATTACAGAGGTGCAGCCGCGGGCATCATCGTTTATGACATTACCAGCACCGTATGTATTTCCATTACAGTTCTTTGATTATGTACTGAATTAAAATTAATGATGTTAGCTTTAACTAGCTCTGCTGTGTTAATTACTGTGTTATATATATATATATATTTTATTGGATAAAAAGTAAGTATAATTTTGTAATTGTAGGAATCATTTGCAAGGGCTAAGAAGTGGGTGCAGGAACTCCAGAAGCAAGGTGTTCATCTTTTCCTTCGAAATAATATGATTATAAAGGAAGGAGACATGTTTCTGCATTTTATTTTTATGTCATCCTTCTACTTAATTCATTTTCTTCCTACATGTTACCCTTTTTCCCATTAGTTTTAATTTGATAATATTTTCCACCTCGGTTTAGCTCAGCTGGTTAGGAGGTGGGGTAAGATTCTTCTAGGTAGACATCTTAAATGGTGTTAAAGTTTTCTTCTATTTCACTAAGATTATAAATTGAAAATTATCAATTTTTAAACATGCTTTTGGTGTTTATGTGTTTGTTCATTCTTTTTGTAAGTTTAGGAAAGGTGAAGGGGGATTTAATCTTTGAAGCATGACTGTGCCTTCCCCATAAAGGAGGGGTAACAAACACTACTGGTCTGTTGTATGTTAAACTCATTACAGAATGCCAATGGTATGGATTCCCTCATTGTGAATTTGAGATGTATGTTGACCCAAAGCTATGTCTTTCTAAGACATCTCATGAATTTGGCACCATCTAGGAAATAGCCTATAAAGATAGAGGGAGCTGTTGAAACAAATGGATTTTGGTAGCTTATAGGTTACTTGTTTTTCTTAATTTTGTTTTTATATAGATGGATACTGTTTGGTCTCTATGAGCGTGTGAAAACCATGAGTCCATTTTGGAACTGTTGTAGGCAATCCTAGCATGGTTATGGCCCTTGCTGGGAACAAAGCAGATTTGGATGATAGAAGAAAAGTAACAACTGAAGTAAGTACAGGCTTCACCTTTTCTTGCTGTTCTTTGCTGCAGAAATTTGCAGTAACACACAAGCTTCTACTCCATATATATATTTCAGCCAAAAAAAAAAAAAAAAAAAAAATGAAGAAGAAGAAGAAAAAAACCCAAAAATCAATAGCTACTTCTGTTATACTATTATACACTCATCTTGAGATGTGTTTGTGTTTATACTTTGGTGTCATTTCAGTTAATTGGTTTTGCAGGAGGCACGTCTGTATGCTGAGGAAAATGGCCTTTTCTTCATGGAAACATCTGCTAAAACTGCTACAAATGTCAATGACATGTTTTATGAAATAGGTATGTGGTCTGACTCTATGGTATAACATGAGGCACTTATTATCCATTGAATGGGATTTTGCTTTTGCTTCTTATGAGTTGTGGAGGTTTTTATCTCACTTTCATCACCTTGAATTAAGGTTTTATTGATTGTCTGCCTGAGCTTCAACTTTCAACTTCTGAGGCTACTTTTTGATATCTAAACATAAAATGGTTTGCAATGCCTTGGAGTCTGATTTGTGACAAAACTTTTACTTATTTCCTTATAGAAATTAGTTCCCTGGCCAAACCAAGTGTTGTCTAGTCTTTATTGTCTCATTTCCAGCAAATAGCTATTGATTGCCCTGGATCTGATCCCATTGAATGCCATTTGTTTTAACCTGATCATTCCAGAAAAAAGGAAAAAAGTAATAATAATAGAGAAAAGGTTATACTCTTGTATTGTGTTTCATTTAGGCCTTTGCATTTCCATTTCCATTCTTCTAATACCTAAAATGTTGGTTTGATGCAAACAGCAAAAAGATTGCCCAGAGCTCAGCCTGCCCAGAATCCAGCAGGAATGGTTATAGTGGATAGACCTGAAGGAACTCAAACAGCATCGTGTTGTTCGTAATTATTTCGGTCTTTGTTGCCTTTTGGTTTCCATTTTTTTCTTGTTTGGTCCTTCCACGCACGTAGATTCTGGTTTGTGATCTTGCGAAGAATTTTTACATGAAGATGTTCAGTTATGCTATATGCTGCCTTGATGATGATCAGCAGTGGGAATTTTCCCTAGCTAAGATGAACCTAATGGTGCAATTACATGACTGGAAAATGGTAATTAGGGATCCCATGCTATTCATATTTCCACTGGTATGCAAATATGCTATTTTTTAAAAAATATGGATCAGGTCATATTTTACGGCAAAAATCAACATTTAGCTTCTCGCCTTACAAAGTTGATAGGTTTTAACTCAACACATGACAGTTTTAGCATTTTATTTTATAAAGTTGGTAAGTTTTAACTCTTCACTTTATAAAATTGATAGATTTTAACCATTTACCTTATATTATGATATTTTTAGCTCATCACTGATACGAATTAAAGAAAATAATTCTCACATAACATTAGGTTATAAAGTTTTATTAATTGATTGTTAATATCTGTTAACATTTAGTTATAAAAAATATGAATTTTAAATTTAATTTTATTTGTTAGTTTCATTAACAGAATGTTAACGGATGTTAACAGTTAATTAATAGAATTAATAGTCAGTTAATAAAATTAATAGTTAGTTAACAGAATTAACAGTTAACTAATAGAGTTAATAGAACGTTAAAATTTGATGTTAAATAAAGGTTATTTTTTTTTAATTTGTATAAATAAGGGGTTAAAAGTGTCATAATATAAAGTAAAAGTTTAAAATTTATCAATTTTGTAAGGTGAAGGGTTTAAATTTATCAATTTTATAAGATAAAAAATTAAAAGTATTATATTATAAAATTAAAAGTTAAAACTTATTAATTTTACAATGTGAGGGATTAAAAGGATGGTTTTAGCTCATATTTTACTGTTTCGGTGAGAAATAAAAAAAAGGTCAATTCAATAATTTTAGGCGGCTATACAATACCTTCATGCAAGGTTTGTCTATCAACCAAATGAGCCGTCTTTGACTCTTTCTTTTGCACGCGAGGTTACTTTCACACCCTTGAACAATTAAAAAATGAAAATACTCAGAGTTTTCCCTCTGGCTTTTTTCCTTTATTTAGATTCCTTCGGTTTATTTTAATATTTTCACATATTGATGAGTAAGAATATACTTCTATATAAGTTTTATATTTTATATTTATGTAAAATTTTAATTATTTATTTTTTTATTTTTAATAATTAAAATTTATTTAGATTTATTAAATATAATTATTATTTTTATCTAAAAAATTAAGATAAATTATAATTATTGAAAGTTAAGAGATGGATAATTAAAATTTTATGTAAATATGTATACAAGAAGTGTATATAAATGCATCTCTCATTTCGATGCTACAACAAAAGAAGGGTGCTTGATAAACAAAATTGTTTCCCCTAACATTTTTGGAAGAAAGATTTTCCTTCAATTTTTTAAATATGAAACTCACTTAATATCTTTCACAAACTTTTTCAATACCTCCTTGTTACCATGCCAAATTAAAATTTACAATCCACAAAAAAATTTAATAAAATTTCATTACAAAACTCATTAACTTTTTGTATAATATTTTATCAACCACTTTTTTTAATAAAAATATTCTAATAAAATTAATTTCTTGCCAAACAAGCCCTTATATTTGGTAAAATATATATTTTAAATCTAAACTACAAAATTATAAAAATACAAGTATACTTAATGAATCTCTATTGTATATAAATTCATAAAGCGGACATAGTTTTTTTTTTTTTATATAGTTGGAACTATACTTTTTTATTATACAATCCAAAATGCATAATGAAGTCAACAAACATAGCTCTTATTTTTGCGTATTTTGTACTTGTAAAATTTTTAATAAATTATTATTTTTTATCAAGAAAGTACATCAATATATAAGAAAGTTGAAGAAGAAGAAAAATATCAATATAAAATGCATTTTAGTCCTTAAATTGTTATTTTACCAATTTCATCCTTAAATTTTATTTTATTCACTTAATTATTTTTAATATTTCTGAAAATAATAATTATTAGTGCTTTTGTAAATCTTGTATTAAGTTTAAAACATAATGTTCACATAACAATTAAAAAGTCTTTAAGGCTTATTTATTAAATATAAAGACGGTCTTTTAATCTCTAATATTTTTAACTAAAAAATAAGTAAGAAAATTTTTAAACTTTTAACATTCCTCTACCTTGTCCTCTCTCTTGTTTTTGGAAAAACTTTAAATTATCAATTCTGTAATACCTAAAAGTAATCTAAAATATTCATTTTAGTCACTAATATTTATTTCCTTTTTTTTAGAACAAGTACTAAAATTTCATCTCTAACTCATAACTTTTTCTTGAGTTAATTCTATTTATTTTATTGTCATTTTTTATATCAATTTTTTATATGTTTCTAAATCTTTTTACATTTTTTGATGTGATTTTACATACTTTTTTTAGAAATGTTTTATTCTATATTTTTTTCCATAAAAAAAAAAAGATAATTATTCACTAATCACAAAAAATTCCAAAATAAAGTATATTTCATATTGAGCATGGTCAAGTTAACTATTTTAAGATATAAGTTTACAACGTTATAACTGTGTTATTGTCTCTGGTCCTATTTAGTTGTCCTATTCCATCAACTTTATGTAAATTAATTTGATAACTTTATATGAAAAATAAATAATAATTGAATTTTTTTTAATCTAACTAAAAAAATTTAACAATCAACATGTTTAGGAAGAAATTTTTTTAAATTGTCATCTATTTGTTATTTAAAATTATCAAGTTAAACTTTATGTTAAAATCAAACTAATACAATTAAAACAAACATGAGGGAATAATAGTTTGAGGCACATTTTTTTTCTTTTAATAAGAAGCTCAAATTTGATTTAGATGTCGACAAAATTGACCCCTTCCTTTGAAATCCTGGCTCCACCCCTATTGATGCAAATGAAGAAGTGAAACAAATTGAAAGGGCAAGGAAAGATTCCATCTTGGAAAAGGCAGCCTCTTAGTTGAGTCTATTCACTCTTGGATTATACCATGCCAACTTTCTATTATTTTCAATTTTTGTTCCTTGAGATTGGCATTTGGTTGTCAACGTCAAGTTTTCTCCCTTGTTATAGATTCCTTCTTATTTATTTATTTTTATTTTTATTTTTTTGGAGAGTAAGCTTAGGCACATACCTAATTATGAATTATATATAATAAGGGCTCTCTACTCACCCCAAAATTTGAACTTCCAACATGAAGATAACCATTGGGATGTCCCTAGGGGATTAGCTTAGGCACACACAAACAATCAATATTACCGATCATAAAAAAACTTGTTTTGTTAAGGTTAATTAAGCTGCTTTCCTTATTAACAACAATTTGGTGTAATAATGACAGAAAGGAAGATTTAGTTTTGATCCAAAAGGAAGGAAGATTTAGTTTTGATCCAAAAGAAAGGAAGATTTAGTTTTGATCCAAAAGAAAGGAAGGCATAGACAGTAATATAGTTTTGATCCAAAGAAAGGAAGGCATAGACACTAAGGAAGCAGCTATATATCTTCTTCCCTCTCTTCCTTTAGCTTCTTCAAGATTGAGGAAAAAAAGAAGGCCAAGACATGGGACTTGTATCTAAGGAGATTTCTAGGGCTGAACTCAAGGCTGGGGATCATATATACTCATGGAGGCTAGGCATCATCTATGGCCATCATGGTTAATTTTCCCCTCTTTCTCCTTATCTTTTCTGTTTTTGATATTTTGCAACAAAGTTGCATTGTGCATTTTATGGGTGATTCCTTTCATTATCACCTTCCACTATGATGCTATGTTT